CCCCAAAACCCCAAAACCCCAAAACCCCAGAAATAAAAATAACGATTATTTTAATATATAAAGATAATTAAATAAAAAAGATATATAAAATTATATTATGAATTATTAAAGTAAATAAATAACTCTTATTAAGAGAAAGTAAGTATTATATTCTCGGTAGTGAAAATATATCTATCTTTTGATAGGAATCAAAAAACTACATCGACTCTACTATTGTCAGCACTCGTAATGTAGGTGTAATTTTCAACAGCCACTTAAGCGAATTCCTCCCATGACATCATATTATTGTTACTAGTTCTGCACTAATTAACGTAGAAGTCTCCGAAATATCTATTGTTAATAGTTGAAAATAATGAGCGATCAATCTAATAGTTTCTGTTAGGGACCAATGGAGCTTCGGGATGGAACTAGGTTCCGTAGAATGGATAATTTTTAGCTTCAATTGAGTTGACAAATTCTTTTTAACTATTATCAAAAGCAGTCGAAGTAACTGTGTAGAAATCTTTTAAGCCCTTATCAGATTAGAATTTGGCTGGGCTTATTCCCCATTTATGGAAGTTGAACTGAATTTTATTTTACTCGAAGAGGTAGGCATCATTTCCCATTGCTCTATACATTCTTGTCTGAGAAGGATCAACTGCAAATTTCATTGCATATAAATCGTTTTAAGAATCATAGCTCTCAAGAACTTTTGGATTAGTTGCAGCAAATGAGGAGATACCTTAGAATCCAAGGCAAGTGCCCCAAATAGGCAAGAATACACCTTTATCGTTTAGGTCTCTAACCTTGTCAAATATCCTTTTACCGAAATCTTTATATGTTTATTGTCCAGCAGTTCCTCCACAGTAAAAAACTCCTTAAAGCTTGTCAATTTTAGCCAATTCCGCATCATCATTACCAGAGCCATATATTAGAGGGACTACTCTGGCACCTGATGCTTCTAGATAGTCAACATAAGACTTTCTCATGTATGAACTGTATTTTTCATATCTATTGTCTGGATCAGTTAGCTGTTCATCATTCAATGGTTATGTAAGCACACCGATAACTGGAAAGTTGTTGACTACTTTGCGATCTTCTGCAGCAACATTATAAGTCTGAGAAGAGAGAGACTCAGCCTTTGACTAGGAAAAAGAAGCACTAGAAAAAGTTGCTTATGTTGCTATTAGACCGATTGTGACTAAGGCTAGCATGTTAAAAGTACCTTAAGGAAAATAAATTAATTATTAAATATAAATAAAGATAATTTCCTTACTTTAATGGACCAATGAGCAGAAATCAAATATAAAGCTTTTATTAATTATTTTTATTTTTGAAAAAATTTACATTTTCTATTTTGTAATTTGGGGTATTATTGATTCTAGGGGTTTTGGGGTTTTGGGG